CACAAACCTAACAAAAAGAAAAAAAAAAAGAAAAAAAAAAGGGAACGTGAAAATAGAAGGAAAGGGAACCTGATGATGATTCCTCCGCTGCAGCTGCTGTTGTGGAGGCTGATGAATGTGGCGGCGCAGCCGTGCTTGATGCCCCTGCGGCTGCATCTTGTCTTCCGTACAAATTATAGTGAATGAAGATTGAAGGTAAACACTAACCAACTGAGAAAGAAAGAACAAATATATGGAGGAGAGAGAGAGAGAGAGAGAGAGAGAGAGAGAGGGAGAGAAGAAACAGAGAGAGATATATAGAGATTGAGAAAAGAAACCGTCAGAAGGCGCGTGATCTTGATTGGGTTTGAATTAAATTATAACAGATTTAACTAGTTAATTAGTTTCAAAACAAAAAAAAAAAAACTAATTAATTAATTATGTCAAACGAAAACTAACTAATTTATATAATTATATATAAATATTTCAAAATATATTTTAATTTTATAAATTGGGCTCTATATAAAATAGGCCCAACTGATCCAGACAAATATACAACTATACTAATGGAAGAGAGAGAAAGAAGAGAGAGAGAGAGAGAGAGAGAAGTAAAGTGAGACCGTGGAAGGGGTGAAGAGCGGTGATTCGTGAAGGGCGTGATCGGGTGTATCTACGTATGTTGGTCGATCTGTGCAATCGGGCTTCTCCGAGTTTAATCAAACACATCACTCCTTTGGTTCTGGGAATTAACTTGTGACTGATTCTGCAATCTTCATTCCACTGATTAACAATTCGGCCGACGAGCACCAATCAGCTTATTCCTGTAAATCGCCGATGGGAACCGGCACCATGGATGAAGATACCTCGTCGAAACAACCCTAGATTCACGCCTGAATTTAGTAATTTCACACCTGAATTACTAAACTCTAGATTCAATTCCCAAAAAGCAGCCTCTTTCCGACGACGATAGAGACCTCTCGCCCTCATCCGCCGGCATTATATGGTTTTCAATTGTCAATGTCGTCCGGCCGAAACTCGAATTGCAGGGGCTGCGATTCTCCTACGACGGCGGCGGCGCAACGGACTCTAGAGTGGAGTAGTTTATAGTATATAATTGGGTAAATTACAAACACCCCCTGGGGTATGGTCAAATTACAAAACCCCCCCTCTTGTTTGGATAATTACATCTACCCCTCAACCATGATTTTTTCTTACACCTCCACCCTTATGGTGCCAAATTCAACATAATCATCTACATTCCGTGGAATGTGCTCTAGTTTGTACTCGTTTTGTGTAAAAATACAGTTTTCGATGCACCACAAACTGGTATCACAAACTGATATATACAAGCTAAAAATCACATATTATGATCATCTTGCTTCATAATGTAGAGTTTGAATGGGATAAAACAGGTACAAAAGTGATAATATTCCATATAATCTCGAAGATTCCACTAAATTTGAGGAGTTTAGGGGTGGTTGTAATTTTCCCAACCAAAAGGGGGTTTTTGTAATTTGGCCATTCCTCAGGGGGGTTTGTAATTTCCCTTATATAATTTGAACACTTGCTTTTTGGGTAAAACAAAACAAGCCCCCAGGGTTGTTTTCACTTTTTAATTTTGGAAAATCAAGGGCCCTTTTGGTATTTTTTTTCAATTCCCCTTTTAAACCAAAAAAATATTTTTTTTTACTTCCCGGAAAATTATATTTTCAATTTTTTAATTTTTCCATATTTACTTTTTTTTTAAAAAAAAAAAAAAAAAAAAAAAAAAACACTTATTTTTGGATTAATATTCACATTATTACACGAAGAAGCTATCAGCTGCAGCAGTATATATTTATTTGTACAATAGCCATAACAGGTGATAAAATCAAACACATCCAATATTTATTATTACTAAAACTCTACACATTATTATTATTACACAATTACTGGCGGCGTCCT